CACACACACACACACACGCACACACACACACACACACACACACACACACACACACATATATATACATATATGTATATATATATATATATATATATATATATATATATATATATATATACATATATATATATATATATATATATATATATATATATATATATATATATATATATTATATATATATATATATATATATATATATATATATATATTCATTTATATATGTATATATATATATACATATGGTATCGATAGTGTTAGTGCTATTATTAATGGCATTATGGTTATCATGGTGTTATCGAATTTCTAAAAACAGAAGAAATAAAGAATGTTTCCGGAAATCAAGGAAAGAGCTGTATTTAGTTTCTGTCGAGAACAATTAATGTGTACAATGCTTTATAAAATATTTTTACGGTCAAATTGGGTTGTGGTTTTCTCAAAAGATGCAATTTTCGAGTTCATATATACACATACAGCGAGTTGTAGCTCCGTCATAGGAAGTTTGTCATTACAAAAAGTCGACTTTGTGAGTAAGTCAGAGAAGGTCAGGCATGTAGGTTAAGTATTTCAAAGCAAGTCAAGTGTAAGAAGAAAGACCACGTGGGGAGGGATCTACTGTTGCGGCTCGGAAAAGAGGTCGTTTTGAGTACACCGCTCGTGAAACATCTCTGCCAAAAGGAGCTTTATTAAAAAGAGAGAAAGAAGATGAAATGAACATACATTCATGTATATATATAAATGTATATATATAAATGTATATATGCATATGTATATATACATATATATATATATATATATATATATATATATATATATATATATATACGTATATATATATATATATATATATATATATATATATATATATATATATATATACATATATATATATATATATATATATATATATATATATATATATATATATATATATATATATATATATATATATATATATATATTATGTATGTATGCATGTATACGTATATAGATACGTATATTTCGTATATAGATAATTACAAATACATATATATATATATATATATATATATATATATATATATATATATATATATATATATATATATATATATATATATATATATATACTTATTATACATAAACATACTTACATATCTATATCTATACCTATATCAATATCTATATCTATATCTGTTTACACACACACACACATGCAATGATACGAGTGACGAGAGTATGGATGAAAGATGATGACACAGGCCAGAGAGATACAAATTAATATATAAAGATGAAAGGAAAACATTTTAGGTCTAACTTTAAATAAAAAATGATAATAAAAAGGATGAAGAAGTTGACAAAGTGTATTTAATTAGATGGTGCTTACTTATATACACGAAAGGTCAATGCAGAAACGGGTTAAAATACCGATATTTCTGATTAAAAACTAGCAACAAAAGCTAAACCAGCTAAACGGGAACCGAGAGACACAAAAAAAAGAAAAAAGAGAAAGAAGATAATGAGATATGACGGTAAGATATTTAAGAAAACAAGAAGAAAGAAAATGGAGAGGGGAACAGAAAACCGAGGAAATGAAGGAGAAGCAGTAACATCGAACAAACACACGCAGATACAAATAAAAAAACAGCAACAATAAAAAACTGAAACCCAAAATATTTGCGTACGTAAGGATAAAAGAGAGTCTGTGTGCGTGTGAGTGCTCGAATGCGAGAGAGAGAGTGTGAGTGCTCGAATGCGAGAGAGAGAGAGAGAGAGAGAGAGAGTGGAGGGGGAGAAGAGAGAGAAAGACAAACAAACAGACAGACAAACTGGCAGACAAACAGACAGACAGGCGGACAGAGCAATAGAAATATGCACACCATACACTATAGAAGTGCACATTACATCTGCTTCATAAACTCTAATATAAGTGACAAAAGTCGCATGTGTGGATAGATGCTCTCTGTATACTGAAGGCTTTACGACGAGCGCTAGCGAGAGAGGAGGGGGACGAGAGGAAGAGAGAGAGAGATAGAGAGGGAAAGAGAGAGAGAGAGAGAGAGAGAGAGAGAGAGAGAGAGAGAGAGAGAGAGAGAGAGAGAGAGAGAGAGAGAGAGAGAGAGAGAGAGAGAGAGAGAGAGAGGACAGACAGATTTACGTCCTCATCCCGGAAGTGGCTGGGAAAGCCCAATAGAGAGAGGTGATATAAAAATAAACATATGAATCTATCCGCGGAGGAGTGATTGCCCTTGCGAGGCCGCCCGGGGCATAAAAGGCAGTTTATCTCTCCGGGCTTTCGTGAGCCTCGATTCAGGCCTCGGCGTCCGGGCTGCAGCCCCTCCGCCGCCGCCGTAAGGTGGATGCCGACCGTACTGCTTCCGGCTTCTGGGCTCTCTATTTCCTCTCTTTGTCTGTCTGTCTCGGTCTGTCTCTTTGTCTGCATTTGTCTATCTCTGTGTCTATGTTACTCTTGACAGCGTCTGTCAGTCTGCCTTTTTCGCTGACTGTCTCTGTCACCCGC